CTAATACTTGGACACTCACTACTCTCCATGCCAGCAAAACTCCCATTGGTTGTCGTTGGGTGTATAAGATCAAACATCGTTCTGATGGTTCTATTGAACGTTATAAAGCTCACCTCGTCGCCAAGGGTTACACTCAACTTGAAGGTGTTGATTATCACGATACCTTCTCCCCTACTGCTAAGATGGTCACTGTTCGTTGTTTATTAGCCCTCGCTGCTGCCCGCGACTGGTCTCTTCACCAACTTGATGTCCACAACGCTTTTCTTCATGGTGATCTTCATGAAGAACTCTACATGACCCTTCCTCCTGGTCTTCGGCGACAGGGGGAGAATCTCGTGTGTCGCCTTAATAAATCCCTCTATGGCTTGAAGCAAGCTTCCCGGCAATGGTTTGCAAAGTTTTCAGAAGCAATTAAATCCGCTGGTTATATTCAATCAAAGGCAAATTATTCTCTATTTACGAGGCAGCAAGGGCAATCCTTTATAGCCCTCCTTGATCTATGTTGACGATATCTTGATCACCAGCAATGATCCTGAAGGAATTAATGCTCTTAAAAAAGTTTCTTCATGGTCACTTCAAAATCAAGGATCTCGGTAACTTGAAGTACTTTCTGGGAATAGAGGTTTCACAGTCAAAGAAAGGGATCTTTATTTCTCAGCGAAAATATGCTTTAGAAATTTTGAAAGATAGTGGCCTTTTGGGAGCTCGCCCAGTAGAGTTTCCTATGGAGCAGAATGTTAAACTTTCTAACACTGGTGAGTTGCTTAAAGATCCGGCAAAGTATAGAAGGTTGGTTGGTTGATTGATCTATTTAACTATTACAAGGCCGGACATCACTTATCCCGTGCATGTGTTAAGTCGATTCATGCATGAACCATGACAACCGCACATGGAAGCAGCCCTCCGAATTCTGAAATACTTGAAGAGTACGCCTGGACAAGGTTTTTTTTCTCTTCTCAAAACAACTTGAACTTAAGTGCATATTGTGATTCAGATTGGGCGGGATGTCCTACGACACGAAGGTCAACTACAAGTTACTGCTTTTTTTTGGGCTCTTCGTTGATCTCTTGGAGGTCAAAAAGACAAAAGACCATTTCTTTATCATCAGCAGAGGCTGAATATAGAGCCATGACTGGAACTTGTTGTGAACTGTCATGGCTTCGATATCTTCTGAGGGATTTAGGTTTGCTTCACCCAAAACCGGTCTTGCTACATTGTGACAACAAAGCGGCGCTCCATATAGCTGCTAATCCAGTTTTTCATGAACGAACTAGACATATAGAGATTGATTGTCATTTTATTCGAGACAAGATACAAGATGGTTCAGTCGTCACAAGGTACATTCCTTCTTCAAACCAGCTTGCAGATGTGTTCACAAAGGCATTAGGAAATGAGGCTTTCTCATCCATCATACGCAAGTTGGGAGTTCTCGATGTACACTCTCCAACTTGAGGGGGAGTGTTGAAAAGTCAATGATATCAAGATGCCTGATATCTTGGTTTAGAATAGGAAACAAAGTCTGTAATTGATTTGTACAAAATCTTCCTTTTTTGTATAGCTTGATTGTAGGCTAGGTTAATTCTCTTCCAAGAGAATGAGTATGTATAAATGGCCTTTGTATCTTTGTTGAATATTAATTGAATTTCAGCCGAATATATTTTTACACTTCTTCCCCCAAAACCCCCTCAATCAAATCTCTTTCCCTCCAAACCCCAAAACCCACTTTCGCCTCCAGGTCCCAGGCCCTCGACTCCTCGCTCCTGATTTCCTCAGCCCCTCAATCAAATTTTCCAACATAATACCCATTTGTCTCTTACTTGCACCGGTGCCTTCTTCCTTCCCCCTTTTCTCCTCTCCTCATTTCCTTCTCCTTCTCTTCTCTCCTCATTTACTTCCAGTCCAACACTTGCAACTAAGAGCCTCTGGGAAAGGACAAGGTGAAATAATTCATTCACTTTTTAAATTCTGGGTTTTATTTTTAAGCCACGATTCATTTCCAATTATTGTGTTTTAGTTTTACCTTGTTTCTGATCTTGTGGTGATTTTTGAAGTTGGGTTTTTGTGCAATTATTGGCTTAACTGATCACCATTACTGCTCTTAATCATTGGCTTAATTTGTTTGATTCTTCACGTAATCACTGTCCTGTTTTGTTCTGTCAACAGAAATTGCATAATATGTTCTGTGATCTGCACTTCAGATACCATAACATCACCGCTCCAATTTCTTTCAGTCTCTCCATTCTAAGAACAGATGCAGTGTTCCTTTGCTCCTGATGAACACACCAACGACACGTGAAGATGCTAAGAAGTTATGCTGATTGCGAGATGCTCTGTAAGGAGAGGGTCTTGATTTTGTATATTTTGGCTTTAAGGGGTCTGTTCTCGTTCGTAGTAATCTCGATTTCGATGACGGAATTGGTTGGGCCAAGGTTGTACAGCTGCTGCAATTGCCGAAACCATGTTGCCCTTCACGACGATGTCATTTCGAAAGCCTTTCAGGTGAACATAGGTTGAGTATGGAAACATAGGTTGAATATGGAAAATGCAGTGAATGGAGGGGAGGGGAAAGAAATGATTGAAAGTGGTTTATATTTTTTTATTATTAATATATTTTCTGTCGGTTTTATTCGACAAGAATGCTTTTATTTATTCATTATTAATAAATTTTCTGTCGGTTATATCTGACACAAGTTCTGTCGATTTTAGTATTTTCTGTTGGTTTTATCCGACAGAGAGTGCTCTTATTTATTCATTATTAATATATTTTCTATCAGTTATATCCGACACAATTCTGTCGGTTTTAGAATATTTTCTGTTGGAAAATTCATTTCCTAATGCTAACAATTCTATTACTTATTATATCCGTCATTGCATCCATTTTCTGTCGGATTTTGAATAGCGACACTAATAAATGGTTTTGTAGTGGTGAGGCAGAGAAGAAGTGGATCCTCGAGATCAAATCCAAGTCTCAAAAGTTGGCGGGGCTTCTCCGCCAACTCCGCAGTTCCCGCCTCTCCGGCCCTGATATCTTCGACCGCCCCATACGGTACATCCTCGAGCTGGTCGAACTAATCCTCAACGATTTCAATCCAGGCTGATGAAGAACTCTTATGCTCACATCATCATCAAAATCATCAACCATTTCAACATCACGTGTTTCGTGCCCCACGGCATCAACCCTTTAAGGCTCAGGGATATGTTGATGCAGCTCGAAAATGTAATTGGCGACGTGTCGTGGCTGACCATCCTGCTTAGTTCTGTGAATAGTGAGGACATGGACTGGTCTCAGCTTAACCATGTATCACGTGAGCCACTTCTGTTCCTGATTTGGGAAAAAAATTGCTCTCCTTGCTGACACGCGTAATTCGTTCCAAGTTCGATCAGAAGCAGCAGCTACACTTGGTGAGATATCTCGGCACGATTGCGAACATAGCATCATTGAAGAAGAGGGAGTTGAACCCTTGTTGAAATTCGTGGGAGAGGGTCCAATCGAAAGCCAAGAGAATGCTGTCCGGACTCTGGGGTCACCCGGACATGCCTGGGAAAGCGTCGAACGCGTGATCCTTGCTGATGCATGCAAAGTGTGTGCAATAATCCTCCGAGAAGGTCCGATGAAAGTTCAGGCTGCCGTGACTTGGGCGGTGTCAGAGATCGCAGCTAGACACCCCAAATGCCGTGATGTTTTCGTCCGGCATGATGTAGTCTACTGGCTCTTGAGCCATCTAGCATTCGAAACTGTTGAAGTAGATAGTAACCATGCCACGAGCAAAACCAATAGTAATGTCAATGGCAATGAAGACCCTGCCACCAAGGCTGAAATGAAAGCTATGGCGACCAGAGCCCTTGCCAAACTAGCCAAGGGGAACTCAGCCATTGTTCCTAGCATCGCAGAATCAAGTGTCCTCTTAATTTTAGCCGTGAACCTAGAAAAGGGTACCAAAGATGTTCAACTGCAATATGGAGATCACTGCGGTTGCTGAGGAGGATGCTGAACTGAGAACATCTGCCTTGTATCGTAATTCTCCGGCTCGGAAATCTATCGTTGATCAATTAGTAATAAAGATCACCGATGAGAAGGAAGATCCGGAGCTCCTGATCCCGTGCATTAAAGCTGTTGGGAATTTAGCAACAACATTTGAAGCAACAAACAATTTCGTTACGAAAAATGCTTGCATTGCCCTCACAAAATTTGCATGTACTAGCAACTATTTTCACGTTGAGGTTTCCAAGGCAATAATAATTGCTGGAGCAGCTACGCAATTGATCCGACTTTTTTATTTTGGGCATTGGAATGTTCAGCTTCATGCCTTGGTTCTCATATGTTACATTGCGATTCATGTGCCTGGGAGTGAAGAGCTTGCCCAGGCTAAGGTGCTCGCCGTGCTTAAATGGGCGCCCAAGCATCATTATTTTACCGACCATGAAAAATTGAACAAATTATTCTACGCTGCACTGGATGTACCAGAAAATGAAGTTGCTGAGGCTGAAGCTCGCGTGCATGCCACGTATGGATGGGAGTTGCAACGATCTTATATGACCCCAGCTGAAACACTCTACACTCTTACACAAGGCTACAAGCTTTGGATCTTTATCATTCTCAAAGTTCTAAAAGACGCTAGGCGCTAGTCAGGCGGCATTGTCTTAAACCTAAAACAAATGTCATATAATCTCTTATGACTAATTAGGCCTTGGTTAGATCATCTAGGCTACATTCTAGGATCTCAAGTAGTCTATTTTCATAAAATGTTGAGCTAAATTTTCATTATCTTCTAATAAGACTTGAGTCAGACGTAAGACCAGAAATACTTCAATGCGTGACAAATCTTCCGGGATGTTGTAGGATGTGAGTGTTGGTTTGATCAGCTATACCATGCTGATCGACCAACTACTCGCATCCCACAATATTGAACCTAATATTGGAGAAAACACCTACATAAAGGCAGGTTGTTTCTTTTCTTTTGTCATAGGAAATTAGATAGACAGAGAAAAGAGAGATAAGATGGGCAGAATTAAGAATTAGTAGTGACTGAGAATGGTAAAAATTGTAGCTTGGTGTTCTTTTCTTTTGAGCGTCGGTAAGGAGCTTTACTTTACAAGAAACTAGGGAAGCCTTACGCACCATTTCTAGCCTGACCAAATTTACAATCACAACTTTTTAACTCAAAAACAAAAATATTACAATCAGAAAGCAGATCCAAAAAATAAAAGTATACAATCTGAAGAGAGAATATCAAATGGGATATTTGACACGGAATCATAATCTATACGCGAATGGAATTGGACTCGATGAAATTTCTGTACTGGGTGATCAATCTTGCAAAAGCTTACACAAGAGACCTGAAACTTTCTGACCAAAAGTGAGATTTCCGCTTGGTGAGAGTGTCTCGCGGTGCAAACCTGAGACCAAACATCTCCTTGAATGCTTGCTCGGGCTCTACTGAACCTACCAACTTTGCAACAATTGTGGCACTGTCCATGATATGGTCCAGGTTTTGTGTGTTACTCCACAGGAGGTTTGCCAATTGCAACCGCCTATGCTTCGAGTGTAGACTGATACCCCACTTTAGGTAGAGGTTATTTCTTTCATCCTCAGACAGTCGCCTTCGCATTTGCTTGCTCAGCATGTGTCTCTCACTAGTCAAAGCCTTCATGCTATTTACAGAATAAAACATGTTTTAAGCCGACCAATGCAGGCAATATGTAACAAAGTTAAAACATATCGTGAGTGTCTGCAACCTTCTATTCTAGATCGGTGATAACGAACTTACCTTGAAGCGGGTGTTAGAGTTTGGCCATCTTCCAGAGTCTGATTTCCACGCGAAAATGTGTCTTTGAGGAAGGACAATCTCCTGACCTCAACCTCCATGTAAATCGAATCACTTGGGTCACCTTTAAATAGGAGGAAGAAGTAAGTCCTGTGAACCAATGACACATTGCAGGCATCCCAAAGTTCAATGATCTCTCTTTGCAGCTTGTTGAATTCTGAAGGCCACCTTGAAGGGCTTTCGTCATCAATGGGCATTGGGTCCAAGCCAACATCTTTTACATCCTTTGGAGACGGTATGGGCATTGAATCCGTCTCCGGTACCTGCAACACGAGACAATCCATGTTAGAACTATAATTAATCAGATTGTCTACAACTTCTCTTTTTTTTGTGATGCAATATAATCAAAATCACTCACCACAGAATCAGCAAGTTGAGTATTGCATTGTGTATCGGTCGTTTCCTCTGCTCCTTCAACTAAAGTACTGCTTTCAGTTACCTTGTCATCAGTTGTGCATTTTGTATCCTGTGCTTTACGCTCATCAATAGCAGCACTTCTTGCAGAAGCCTGAGAAGCATTTCTTGATAGCCTTTCAGTCTCAGCACCATAGTTCAGAGAAGGAAGTTTCTTTTGGAAACCCTCGGGCCTTCCTATAAATTTTTTCTCAAACTCAATAGCAGGTGTGCTCTCTCATTCTTCTCTACCAACTCAAGCCACCATGGAGACGAATTATTCATAAGCCTTGCTTTGCAGCTTCTACTCCTCCTCAACATCACAACAGAGGGGCAAAACATTTCTTTCTCGGGCAGCCATTGAGGTGTCCTTTCAGAAGAAGGAACTACAAAACCTTTTTGTTTAGGTAGGGGTGACTCCAATTCCTGATTTGTGCCATCTCCATTTTCGACTGTGGTCAGTCCTGAGGTAGCTGTGTTTGCGAAAGGAGACGACATATTTGAGTTTTGGTATCTACTAGCACTTGAATCTGATATATTTGACACTATATATCTGTTTGTGCCAGACTCTTCCATTTCAATGCAGCGAACTTCCTTGCAGAAATCCTCTGAATTTCCATCAAACTGTTCTTTGCTTTCCTCTTGATGCAGATTACCGTCAACAAAATTAGGAATGCCATCGGATAACTGCCGGGAGGAATCAGTGTGCATGAAATTCTCTTCCAAGTCAGGAAGTTGGAACAGAGTCTCCTCTGAACTAGTCCTACTGTCTCCATCAGAATACTGAGAGGTGCCAAAAGATCTCACACTGTTGGCTCGGCCACGAGAGACGGCCCGAACAGGCGCACCTGCCATTTTCATTTCAAAGTCCCATGAAACTTGCCCACGCAATTTGGGGTAATAACGTTCCAGATCCTCCTACAATTATATGAAAAGAAATTCAACTTAGCACAGACGGAGAAAATTGTAGTGAAATAAAATTCTTCAGTTTATTTTAGTACACATACTTCTGATGGTTTATCATCTCCAAGCACTCGCACCAGATCCTTAACCTGAGATTGAGCAAGGTCTCGTTGCTGAGTTAGCTCCGATACCTCTTTTTTGAGCTGCATAATGAATAAATAAAACCAAAAGTTTTAGACAAGAAGAAGGAGCCTGAATCATGAATAGGAAAAACTGTACTATGCCTCAAACATATGAGAACCACGGATCAAAGGACAATCAAATTGCCATGGTTTCTAACAAGGTGAGCACAAGTGAAGATGTTCAGAGATTTCTGCATGAGAGGACTCGAGAATCATGACCCATGACTACAAGTAACTAGCATCAAGAAACATGCTTCATCAAATTGTGCAAAGACCAGAAAGAAAATATTTGTAGGTAACTGCATATTAAAGAGTATAATTCACCTCGGCTTTCCATAGTTGGAATAACCTGGCTTTTAAATTTTTTCGTGAATCTGTGATCTTTTAAGAGGTCAGCATAGATACTGGCCTTTGTTATGTGTTTCTTTGCCCAGTTTTAGATATGTTCGGGATAGGTACCAAATGCATTTTTGAGGATCTGACAGATAATAATAGGAGCCTATTCGTTACCTTTTCAATTTGAAGGTCCTTTTCTCTCAGTAATGTTGAAGAATCAGCTGAAACAATTTTGTGTCCTGAACCTCTCAACTCATTCTCTAGTCTAGTCAATTCTTTTTGCAAATGCTTCACCAATGCTTTATCCGACATGACCACGTTAACTTGTGCGCTTGTTGTCACTTCTTTAGCACAGCTCGCAAATAAGAGGGTATTTCTTGATTGCTCAACATGGCTATGTGCAGGACTCATGGTACAGATGATGGCAGTTCTAGCATTTCCTCCCAACGAGGACTGCAGTATGCGCGGTTAGCTTTGAATCTCTGTAAGGAACATGCCCACTTCTTCCCTTGCTGCGTGAAACCACAGTATTGAACAATTTCGTAAAAATTCTTATTATGCGAACTTCATTTTACATGAACTAATACAAAGAATCAATGGGAATAATAAGACTCGACATTTCAATTGCACAAAGTAGAATAAATTTTTGCAAAGACCATAACTGAGAAAATGAAAGACAAGCTACTCAAGCTGACCTGAGCTTACGGATAACAGTGCCTAGAGTTAGTAAACTGCGATTTATGTGGCAACCCTCTTTCAACCTTGCTCCAGCTGATAACGTCTGGGACGCACGTTCACTTCCAGCAAGATCAACAAAGTTCTGTACAGTAAAGAATTATATCATTCTGTTGTTATCCTTTATTCCTTTAGTCGTGATTATTTATTCATTTTTTTCTTTAAAAACTTTTAGTACTTACCACAACAGCAGTAAGGGAGCTTGATTTGTCATAGCCAAGAAACTCACGCGCTGAACTTTCAATGACCTGATAAAACCACAGCATATTAGACTCTTGAGGTAATTTAACATAATTATTAAGCAAGCAACTATTTCTTAGCCAACGAAAAAACAAAGTGATATTAATCGTACCAATCTGAGAATCTGATGAGATCTGGAGCTTGCTTCATTTAGGGCTGTTTCCCCTATCTGTCTTTGAGCTGTGGAATTTATCAAGACATTGTTTGAATTTTCAATCATAGTCATGTGGGAACTTTGAAAGACATACTACTTAAGGCATCCTTACCTTCACAGACAGATAGAAGTTCTTTGAAATGGTTCCAGTCCGTTAGAGTTTCCTCGGTGAGTTTCTCAACAATTGTACCTCTCTATTTAAAAGGCCAACAATTAGTACATGAAACTTACATATAGGAGTTTTAAAGCATATCAAAAGTGATATTTACCTCTGGATCATCTAGAAGTCTAAGCGGAGTGGTATCTGCACTAAGGAGGTCCCTAACAGATTCGTTGTAGATCTCCAGGGCAGAGAACTTCAAATTGAATTCTCTCTCCGTGTGCTACATATAATACAGATAATTCATCAAATATGGAAAACCAAAGACATTAATGAAATGCAGAAACAAAAGAAAGAAAGATTCTTAATATGTCTATTAATTACCTTCTCTATGTAGTCATATATATCCGCAACAGTGTAGTCCGTAATTGCACTCATGGTATACGTCTTTCCACTGCTTGTTTGTCCATATGCAAAGATACTTGCTGAAAGGAGATTACCACATAAACATGTTTAGGTATTACTCCAAATGTTCAGCTAAAAAAACTGTTAATTAAATAAGAATAATGACAAAGAAAGGAAAGTAAAATGTCTTCGACTTACAGTTTATACCGCTGACAACTGAAAGAGCAACTCTCTTGGCTCCCTCTTCATACACCCGCCTTGTGGAGCAGTCAGTCCCAAATACTCTGTCTGGTACCATGACAGGGAAAAAATACAGATTAGAAGAGTAATAACATTTTAAATCTAAATCCATGTGACACAATTGTAACAACAAAGGGTATGCAAAATGATTTACCAACAAATTAACGAAGATATATGGATGAAACAAAAGTCTGGACAGATTCATTAGTATTAATATGACAAAATTTACAGGAAATGATCTCAGCATATGCTAGCGCAAGAGAAAAAAAGATGATTGAAATCAAAACATTTCTGAAACTCCTACTGATGGAAACTAATTCTTCACAAACAGCTAAATGGCCATGCAATCTAAAATTCAAAGTCCACAATACTTGATGAATTTAGGCAAAAAATCAGAATGCATCACCAAAGGATATCTAATTTTATAAACCTGCAATGTAGGCACTCACCAAATGTGTAGGCAGTTGGGTACATGGAGCGTTCGGAAACTGAAAGATTGTTCCTGTATATGATAGTTGTGTCATTAATGCATTCCCAATCCGACACATCATTTCTAGCAGTCTCCTTCTCAACCAGAGGCCGCAGCCGGACTGAAACCAATATTCTCTCCCCGTGGCCAGCTGGCTCTTGCATTGGCTCCTCGCCATCAACGGCCACCATCTTTCACTCTTACCCTATTTTCTTCCAAAATCCACCTCCAAGCAAGATTGATAACAAAACTAAATACCAAGTATCCAACACATTTCTCTAAAAACCATGAATCATTGACCCTTCTATTCAGCTCCCAACAACGTTCCTTTCAATTCAACAAAATGCTTTATGTTCCCAAATGCTCAATAAATCAAATGTGCTGCTGGGTTTCCAAAGAACACAATGGCCAACCTAGTTATACACGGACAATCGTCATCTGCAATTAACAGACCAATCATTTGTCAGTGCTGATTCACCGGCATTTCGTTCCGCGTTGTGTCTCGACCATAATACAAAATCTCTTCCAAAATTTAATTTATATTCAGAAATGTGAAAGACAAACACATACCCAACACACAAACAAACAGTGGCTCTCTATTATAATCGAAAGTTTGGATTTTTCCGACAGGGTAGCCGAACCCAGGCTGTCAAAAGTGCTTATTGTAATCAAAACCCGTTTCTGATTAAAAAAAGTGCTTTTCCAAGAATCAAAGAAAGACCAGAGAAAGAAAAACACAAACTTTTAATATTTATGTTTTAATCCTTAGGTTCAGAATTCAGAGTCACTTTCAAGGAATGTTTTCCAAGTTTAGAGAGAGAGAGAGAGAGAGAGAGTTAATGGCGGTGGTGTGAATTGTCAGATTTTTTTTCTGGGGAAACTCATGGTTTTTGGATGCTTCCATCTTTCTAAATTTGGCTCTGTACAGAGAAATCCAAACAGCACTTCCAAACCCACATTTCCCAAAAATAGAACACTCAAAATTCAAAAACTCGAATCCAAAAAAATCACTAATCTTCTCAGTAATTGCCACACGATGCCAACCAATTCGACCCAAAAATCATCCAATTTCTGGATTATCCAAAACCCCAAATTTAGAAATTTCCCCAAAAATGTAACTCAGAACGCTGTCACTACACATATTCACTAGAAATCGGAAAATAAATCGAAAAAAAAAAATCAATTCAGTTACAGTATAAATATATTCAGCATTACCAAACATAGAAATCGATCAGCAATCAGAGTCACTAGAAATTGGAAAAAAAATTCCCAACAAAAAAATAAAAGCAATTAAATTACAGTGAAAACACACTCAGCATTACGAAACATAGAAATCGATCTGCATTTCGAAAATCCAGAAGCAAAACACGTTAAAATTCTCTTACCTCCTGCAACCTAAGACCGCCATTGTTGAAAGCTTGAAGCTCCAAAGCGAACAATTTTTCTATAATATTTTGTGAAGAAAAATGTGTGAGTGGTTATGGCGTCGACTTCTGTGATAATTGACTGTTGCTTTCGGAGCTGCTGCGACAAATCATTGCTGGCCTTTGAATAAAACTACCGCGCTAACGCAGAAACGAGTGGCTACCCGGGACCGGGAGGGAGGAGGGTGTTGAAATGACTGATTTGCCCACGACATTGCACCTAATTTGCGTGGCAACCAGGGCTAAAAAGAGAAGGGCATTGAATTATGGTCGCTGTAAGCCTGTAAATTCGGTGGAGCACATGAGAAGTTGTGCTTCTTTTGCTCTAACTTTCGAAAGTAAACTCCCGAAATGCTTTCCACCGCCCATGTTAAAAGTCTCATAAAATAAATAGAGAGAGAAAATTTACAATATCCTAGCGGGAAAAATATCGAGCAGAGGATCCGAATCTAATACGAATAACATTACATAAAATAAGATTCCGAGAGTTGAAATCAAATCCGAGACTTTGCGTGTAAAGAATAATGATCTTAATTAATTGTTCTTGAAATATTTTAAAGTAGTTCTCATAAATTCTAAATCCGTCACTAAACATGTGCAACTGGACGGTAAATTCATTAGCAAATGATAACCATTGACTTGAACGACATTCATGGTTGACGAAATTTTTTTTGTATTTTCTTATCATCCTATTATGCCCACTCACATGTTTTTTCCACTATATTATTAATATTTTAAAAATCATAATCCTTTTTTTTAATTGAAAAAATCCTAATCGTAGAACTAATATATTAAAAAGGTTCCTTCACTATAAAATTTCTTCAACCATAATATACCAATTAAAATTCTTAATTAATAATAAATAAAAAAACAGGTTGAACTTCACCAAAATATGAGTAGTACTAGTTCATTCTTCACAAAGTAGAAGTCAAGTAATGAACATCTAGGGTTTAAAAAAAATCCTTACAATAAATTCATTTTCAATGTTTAAAGTTAATAAGTGGCGAATTGTCTTATACTATGTTTGAATGAGGCAAATAAACTTAAATTTGGACAAAGACAGAATTTACAAATTGATAGGTTAGCCAAACCATAAAATTGTACATATTCCAGAAAATAAAATTTCAATTTTGAATTTTATCATATTTTTTAGGCTAGTCAAACAATAAAATTTACAAATTCTAGAAAATAAAATTTCATCATTTCAACTTATGTCATTTTAAAATTTCTTAATAATTTTAAATTTATTCACCCACAAGTAGTGTTAATGACAAGTAGTGTTAATGACTAATAGAATTTTCCTCTCCAATACATTCAGAGTTCAGACAATTTTTCCCATCCCTTCTAATACACAGTAGTCATTATTCAATATTAATGCTACACATCACATGGGCAAGGTTTGATGGATGGATCCCATATGTATATTATGTCCATATATAAAATATCCACAGAAAAAAGAGTTTAATAGATGAAAAGAAATTGTGGCATGCAGCCATGCAGGCTTTAGTTACAAAATAAAAAATCAGATGGGGAGCTTTTTATAGTTTTCTCCCGATGGGAGAGGCAAACAAAAAGCTGCGAAACGATGAGTATGGGGACCGCTTCTCTTTGACCCGAAAAAGAGTAAATAATAATGTATTATGCATGCACGAGGTTGAGACACACCATGTGAATTGGAGAGAAGAAGAAGAAGAAAGTGCAGGTTAAACATTCGTCCTTGATTAGCAGGACCCCATGCATCTGTCGAAAAACTCCACAGAAAAAAACATATGAAAAGGAAAGTTAATGTAGCACCAAAATAACTATTAATGGAATCCAAAAATAATATTTAATCGTATATCAGAGAGTACTAGATATATGTAATGAGCATGCAGATTCATTCGACTGGAATTGCATGTGCTGGCACCAACCATTTTTCCATTTTTTTTTAGCTTTATATTCATTGTTGCCGACAGTGATATTTCTTTTTTTATTTTTGGAGTAATTAGGTTTTCATCCTTATTTTTACTACTCTATTGATTAAAACCTTATTACTTTTCAATTTTTGATCAAGGTCCTTTGTATTAATAATATCATTAATTATTTCAATAATAAAATATTTTTTATTTATAAATATATTCATTTAATATTAAAAATGTTACAATTAGTATATTTATATTTATGGCTAAATTTTTTATCATATATTTTTATTTTTAGTTTGTACCCATTTTTAATTTGCAACCCTTTTTTAATTTGTACCAATTTTCCTTTCAATTTTAATTTGTACCCATATATTAATTTCTTTTTGTGCCCATATTTTTTAAAGTTTTATTTGTATTGTACCCATATTTTTTTTATTTATTTGTACCCATTTTATTTTTGCTAAATGTACCCATTTTGAAGAATGTACCCATGTTTTGATACAATAATTTTTTGGTTATTTTTTATGAATGTACCCATGTTTACACACACACACACACAATAGTATATTTATATTTTAATATTTTTAATCCCACAAATTATGTTTTTATTTAAAATCTCATTAATATAAACAACTATAAATTTTAATTTTTAATTTAAAAAATATAGTAACGTACATAGAAATAAATTATCAATTAATTTTAGGGACTTGGATCAAAAATTGAAAACCAACAAAGTTTCAGTCAAAGATTGTTCATAACTAGGGACCGCATCCAAAGTCTCCCTTTATTTTTTTTATTTTTTTATTTTTGGTGACAATGGGGCACCAACCTTTCAGAAAAAAAAATTACATAAGGATATCACGAGGTCATGAGATTCCAATTATATTTGTAACTAGCAATTGACAACAAGAAAATGGAGCTTTATTTGTCTTGTTTATGTTATATTCCCCTTGTCATGAATCGTGCATCTTGAATTAATATTGAATTAAATAGAGGTTATCGTTTGCTCAATGATGAGGATGAATTGTGTGGTAGATAGGAGTTGTTCGTGGCTAGAATTTCCGTTGGGGATGTTTCCTAGCCGACGAGCACACAGCTCCCCGAGAAGTTGGCGCCTGTCGATGCTTTCTGTCGGGCTTCTGCTTTACTAGCGGGCTTGTCGGGCAAGGCTAAAAGAGAAGGACAGAGTTACCTTTGAAATGTGTCTTTGTGGGGCCTTAGGTATAGGCCTTGAGGCTCACAATCAAGATTAACTTTTAAGTGCTCAGGCGTGTCACTGCCATCTTCAGCATGGCAGATGTAAAACGGATGTTGAGTTTTAGTTTTATATATACCCGAGAGACTGTTTTAGTTATGAAAGGTGTCTTTGTGGGGCCTTAGGTGTAGGCCTTGAGGCTTCCAATCAGGAACTAACCCAGTACTTGAATATATAATGTTTGTTTCATTGATTATAGAAGTATTATGACTATTATACTTCTGATTACCCGAGCCAGAAAAGCAGAAAGAATCCAAATAGGTGCCTTTGTAGGGCCTTAGGTGTAGGCCTTGAGGCTTCCCATCAGAATTCCTTCTATGCTCAAACGTTCTACGATAATCATAATATAATAGAAATAACACTAAGGGATAGGTCGATTACTTGTGCCCCAAGTAACTTCGGACTTCTTGTTTATCAAGACTGTCGTGGATGGGTTAAGTCCACATAAGGTTCTTTTTTATGCCTTGAGATCAAGGACTTTTAAATGATCAATCTTACATGCCCGAGGGCTTAGAACTTAGATCTGATTTAATCTGTGAAGACATATTTAAATCGGATTCAAGAACTGAGGAGCCTTTTTAATCATCAACTTGCCAGAAATAACTTGGATACAACTGGAAGTATACAACATATTGCTAGACTACTGAATGAAAAGACAAAAAACAAAGAAGGTCGGGCAAGGCTGATCGTCTTGCAACTTTCTATCTTTGTGGTTTATTAATGGGTTTGAGAGCTTAGAAAGAGGGGTAGGGAGATGGGTTTACAAAAGGAAATCAATACTACAGCAAGTTTTAGACAAGGTAGCAGAGCTATTACAAAGGCTTTGGGTGAGGGTTGATCCCGAAAGGGATGAAGGCTTGGGCTGACTACAGCTTCGTTGAAGGCAAATCTGGTTTGAGCAAATTTTGTGCTTGTATTTGTTTGTTTGATTGAGTGTCCTTATCTTTGATTTCTCTTTCTTCTTTTATAGACACTTCGGCTTGGCCTCATGTACCAGTAATCTTGCCCGAATGCAACTTGAAGGGCAATGACTCATCAGCTTTTTACTTGTACTGCCACTGTAAAGTGCTTTTGGGCTGATTAGCTGGCTGGTCTACACCACTTGACCTCTAAGTAGGTGAGCAAGTGGTTCAAATGGTCTGCACCTAGTCAGAAAATGGCCTATCCTGCTTTCTGGGCTTTGGCTGGGCTTCGGGCTTTTCTCCTTCTAGACCTCTTTCTTTTGGGCCAACTCCTTCTTGAGCCCAAAGTTCAAGTTTTAACCCAAATAGGAGTAGGTTAGGTTAAGAGTTCGAAACACTTCTAGATAATTAAAGAAGTAGTGATTCGAAGAGAGATGTTTATGCTCTCAATGAGCATGTTCTAAGAGACCAATATTATCATAAATTCGAACCTAGCTATGATTCGGCTAAAATTATATAAAGGGAAAATTAGGTTCACATCCTTAATGAACAAACTACACATATGGAGTAGGTTATATAAAAGTTAAAACTGATGAAATTAAGAAATTATTTTCAAAATGTCTCTTTGGCTACATCAAAATATTCCCCTTCCTTTTTTCTAGACCTCATCATTTTAACACTTTTTTCCCCTTGCTAAATTAGAAAATAGTACATCAACATATAGTCATGGAGGGTTAAATGTCGCTCTTGACTATGTTTTAGCTCTTAAAAATTCATATTTAAAAAAAATATATTTTAGTGCTAAATTTTTTTCATCTCCAGATATGCAAGGCTAACTCTTTCTATCTTGTCTTGAGATGCACATGTTAGGGCACACTAAGGGGCTTAAGGGCTTGATATATGTAACATGTCCTTGGCTAAATTTAGACCTAATTATTCTTTTAAGCAAATTCATTTTGGCCCTTGCTGGGAGATGAATTTTGCACAAATTCGAGCTAAAAGTGGCCCATAGGCCTTAACACACTTTTCTCCTACTAAATTAGAAAATACAAGTACTTGAATACTTGAACATAGCCAGGACCTTCTAATAGATTGTATTTCTTTTACATGGCACAACCTATACATCTGTCTTTACGTCTGTTTGTCTTCTTAAAGAGATTTTTCAATATGCTAAGGACACGAGTTAGTGTACCACATATCAATGATACAAGTGAGGTAGAATTTATTTTTGGGTTCTTTAGATATAAGCTCATGCAACACTTATTTATTTGACAAAAAATCCATCTCATTTTAAACATCC